ATCGCCGCCCACGCAATCGGAAACACTCTTACGGTGGGCGTCCCCCAAGACGATCCACTGGGCCACCTGGTCGACCTGACCACCAGGAGGCGTGAAACGAAAAGACCCAGAAGGCGCGAGGCGCCCTAATGGGGCACCAATAGGTCCCCCCGAGGTCTGTGGTGTTGTATCACACTCGGGAGACCTAGTCTCAAACACAGATTTCTATTTCTGCCGCGCCGAGCTTCGCCCCATCAAAATTGTAGCTTTGTCTCTTGCCGTGCCGGGTTTTCCCACCCGGCTCACTGTATTGATCGATTGCGGAGCGTCAGCAAACTACGCCAACCGCTCCACTCTTGGCCGCTTTGGTTCTCTCCCCGTGTCAGACTCCCCTGACATGGTTCGCGTAAAGATGGCCGACGGCCGCATCTCCGCCCAGCAGCGTTTAGTGGTTACGCTGCCTGTTACCTTCGACGATTTCGACTCGGTCGAAACGTTCTTTGTGATCGATTTGGATGAGCGTTGGGACCTCATCCTTGGAATGGCTAGGCTCAAATCCAATCAACCATGGATCGATTGGAAACTCAAAACCATCCACAAGGTCGTTTGGCTGAAAACTGATCAGCCGTGGATCCGACGACACGCCGCTGATAAAGCTTCACAGCCTTCAGCGATATCCGTGGCCCCTGCCCTCACGGCGATGAGTAATGAACTCGTAGCTGATGCCGCACCAGAGTGCTTGTTGGCCCCAACACACTTGTCTTCGCAGTCCACGTCGGCAACCTCACCCCGAGAGGTTGCACCTTCGTCTGCTAGCTCTCCAGCAGATGCCGCCGTCGTATGTACAACTTCCATCGATCCAACTCGTTCTCACACCAATCTCGCCCCTTCAATCGCGTTGGGCTCAGATTTGCCAGTCACGTCGACTTGTTACAGCGCCGACAATCTCAACCCCGCAAGTTGTCAATGCGGATGAGTTCATTCAGCATGCTTGCAACCTTGATAAGTTGCCCCAATCCTCGTCGGGCATCCTGGCATTGCCAGAGATGAGCTATCGCTCCTTCCTGAAATCCCTCCGTTCGCACGGCATCGCGTGCATAGCGATGATCACGTGCGATGAAGACCTCGACCTTTTGTCCTCGTCCACTGCAGACGAATCTGTCCTGCCCAACCCAGCGGAGTCCCAGACGTGGGCTTCCCTCCTCCGCTCGAACCCGTTCTTCGACCTCCTTGATGAATTCAAGGATGTATTCCCCGACGACGTTCCCTGCCGACTACCCGCCGACAAGGGCATACGCCACGAAATTGACCTCGTGCCCGGCACGAAGTATTGCGTTACTCGCCAATGGCCACTTCCACGTGATCAAGTCGAAGCGATCGACGCCTTCTTTGCGGCTCGTAAAGCCGCCGGCCATGTCCGCGAAAGCACGTCCCCACACAGCAGCCCGACATTCTGTGTGAAGAAGCCCAACGGCAAATGTCGGATCGTTCACGCCTTTAACAAGCTTGACGCCGCCACCATCCCGGTGCAAACACCGATCCCCCGCAAAGATGTGATTATCGACGGCATGGGTCGATCCATCATATTCTCGGCCATCGACCTGCGCGATGGATTCTATCAAATTCTCATGCGCCTTATTGACGTGCCGAAGACCGCCGTCTCGGCATTAAGTGGAATGCTTTGGGAATGGCTCGTGATGCTCCAAGGCCTATCCAATGCCCCTGCGACGTTCAATCGCATGGCGACGGCCAAGTTCCGCCCTCTCCGCGACTTTGCCCCGTCATATTTCGATGACATCTACATCCACAGTCGCGGCTCTGAAACCGAGACCGACGTCGAAGTTCACCGTCAGCATCTTCGTGCGGTTCTCACCGTCCTTCGCGAGAATGGCTTATGCTTATGCGCCAACCTCTCCAAATGTCTGTTTGAGGTCGATGAAATCCCTGTCCTTGGCGACCTCGTGGACATTCGTGGTTGTCGGGCTGATCCCGACAAAGCCAAGACTATCATAGACTGACCAGTTCCCTCCTCTGTTACCGACCTTCGCCGGTGGCTTGGCTTGGCTACTTACCTCCACAAGTATTCTCGTGGTTGAGCTGACATCGCGCAACCCCTCTTTCGGTTGCTAGTCAAGGATGCCCCATGGGCTTGGTCGAGCGACTGTCAATCCGCCTTCGATGCCCTCAAATCTAGTATCAAGAGCACCCCAATTTTGGCGCTCCCTGACTTCACGAAGCCGTTCAGCGTCGTGTGTGACGCCTCCCAATATGCCATCGGTTGTTGCTTGATGCAACCTGACGCTGATGGTCGCTGGCGCCCTGTATCCTTTCAAAGTTTCCACGGTCCATCGTATCGGACCGCGATCCCCGTTTCACCTCCCACTTTTGGTCGGCTCTGTTCGAGCTCTGTGGCACCGACCTTGCCATGTCTACGACCGACCACTCCGAGTCGGATGGTCAAACCGAGCGTGCCAACCGCGCGCTTGAAGATATATTGCGCGCGTACTCTGAAGACCAACCTTCCGCTTCGTGGGCCACGCTCCTCCCCCACGCCATCTTTGCGTACAACACGTCCGTCCAGGCTTCCACGGGCGTCTCACCCCACTATGCTGTCCACTTACAGCACCCTCGTATCCCTCAACTCCTCGACAGTCCCTTTTCAGGGTGGATAAGCTTCCTGCTATTTCTCCGGCGGTCGAAGCCATCGCCGAAACCCGCGACCTTCCAGCGCGTTCCGTCCAGGACTTGAAGGTCTTTCTTGCCCATCGTAAATCTGTGTTGCAACAGATCAAGGACAACCTC